AGGGAACTCCTGCCACTGCCAAGGAGGTGAGTTAGCAACTGATAGTGCTTAGAGGGTTTTATGGTTTAGACCATGGGCCAAAGCATGGCACCATCATCCTGAGGGAGTCTTTCTCTCAACCCACCACCATGATAAATGTAGGAGGGAAATCTGGCTACAAAGCTCTTAGTGAATTTAGAAATGTGAAACAGAACAGAAACATATCCCAATGGGAAATCAACTTCTAGGAGGACGAGGTGAGGTGGAGGAGGATAGGAGTGGGTGGGGTCAAAAGGGGGGTGACAGGTTGGTCTCCTTCTATCCCTTTGATTTGTGTTGATGGGGGGCACATGTATGTTTTAGCTCACAGGTGGAAGGATGGAGAGGATTTAGACCTGGACCAGATTGAGACACAAATGAAGGAGCCTTGGACACCAACTGGGGCCTGTGGACCTAGTGACTTAAGAAGCTGTCATGGCCCTGGGACATCTCTGCAGCAGCTAAACATGATTTTTAGGTTGTCTCCTGTTGGGAATGGACAGTCATCAGGATTGAGGGCCAGATTCCTAGCCTGCAGTTTTCAGAAATGTCTTTGGGCTTGTTTATATTCCTCTAGAACAGGGTTTTTCAATCTCAGTACTCTTGACATTTGGAACTGGATAATTCTTTTTTGCAGAGGGGTGTCCAGTACACTGTAAGATGTTTAGCAGAATTCCTAGCCTGTACCTACTAGTTGCCAAAAGCACCCATCCCTTAGCACCAGTTGTGACAACCCAAAATGTCTTGAGATACTGCCACATGTCCACTAGAGGGCAAAATTGTTCCTGATTGGAAAATGAGGTACTTGGGAGCAGTCAAAATGGGAAGAATTAGGAGAAAAAGGTCAATGAGGCTGAGGGGCCCTCTCAGGAGCTGAAAAGTATCCACTGGTTCTGGCATTTACTCTGAATCTTCCAGCAGATCTAGGAGAGTGGCAGGGGAAGAAGCCAAACTGCAGAAGTGAGGAGTGAGGATTATGTGGAATCAGTGAGGGAGGCTCTTCCTCAAGGACTCTTGGCTGTGAAGGGAAGGGTTGAAGTGGGATACTCAGTTGAGGGAGGGTTTTTTTTTTTCCTTTTGTTGAAACAGAGTCTTGCTCTGTCACCCAGGCTGGAGTGCAGTGGTGCAATCTCAGCTCACTGCAACCTCCACCTCCCGGGTTCAAGCGATTCTCCTGCCTCAGCCTCCCAAGTAGCTACCAAGCCCAGGTAATTTTTGTACTTTTAGTAGATATCATGTTAGCCAGGCTGGTCTCGAACTCCTGACCTCAGGCAATTCACCCTCCTCGGCCTTCCAAAATGCTGAGATTACAGGTGTGAGCTACTGTACCCAGCTGGTTCTTTTGAATATGGGAGAAATTTGAGCCATGGAGGAGATAGCTGAAGAAACCTTGAAAATGCAAACAGCATGTGAAAGAATGTGGTAGATTCTGCATACTGTATTGGAGGCATGGCCCCTGTATTGTGAAATGAAAAGAAAAAAAAAAAACAAGATCACTTTTGTTTTTGTAAAACAAAACTACCCAAAGTTCTGTGAGTGTGTATATGAATATTATACATTTATGGATTTATATTTCTCTTATGTTAGAGTTTTATGTTTATGTAAGCATAGAAAATGGTTTAGAAATACACTTAGCAAACAAGGTATTACCTAAGGAGGGTGGGCTCAGGATCAGGGGATAGGAGACAGCAGGTTATGGGGATATAGAGTGGGATGGGGTATGGGGCAGTTGGGTGGAGGCCTTTTATTTCTGTATATACCTCTGTGTTATGAAAGTAAAATAATTAAATGTTCACAAAAATACAAAAATAGT